TCATCTTCTTATTATAGACACATGCATTTCCAAACATTTGGCCTACCTATGTTGTAAATGTATTATCTCTTCGATTTACACACGGCATCTATTGCACGTCTGTCCGTCCTGGGAGAGGGATCCCTCCTCTGTTGCTCTTCCAGAGGTTTCTCCCATGTTCCCCTTTAAACTGTGGGGTTTCTCCGGAAGTTTTTCCTTGTACGATGTGAGGGTCTAAGGACAGAGGGGGTCGTATTGTCATACTGATATTCTGTACAAACTGTGAAGTCCACTGAGACAAATGTAACATTTGTGATATTGGGCTATATAAATAAAAATTGATTGATTGATTAATCTGTTGTTTTAAATAACAATTCTGCATACAGTATGCAGCACTGTACACGACTCCACTGTAAGTGCACGACTCCACTGTAAGTGCACGACTCCCTGTAAGTGCACGACTCCACTGTAGGTGCCCGACTCCCTGTAAGTGCACGACTCCACTGTAAGTGCACAACTCCACTGCAAGTGCACGGCGAGATCGGGCTCAAGAAGTTAATATATGATGTGATTATGATAAGTGCGACACGTCGGCGTCTGCACTCACAGTGCTGACTGAACGCAGCTCTGATATACTTTGCTCCGGTTATTTATGTTTTGGCAGATACTTAAAGTGGACCTATCATGCTATATTATAATAATATAGTGTAGGACCATACCTATATAAGGCATTTTTATACTTTTTTTTTTTCAAAATACCAAACAGATCATGCATTTTAGCCATGCCTCATTTTGCACTTTTTTACCCCTGTTTTAGCAAGGGCAGATTCAGTGAGAACAGCACCACCTACAGGCCTGGCATATGTACTACAGCGTCTCCAGCGCTTTCGAACGGCAATGGCCGTGGCTGTCTCCTCCTGATTGGTGGAGTTGGCCCAATAGCCGTAGCGCCACTGTCCTGACGTCAGGACAGTGTTCAAATCTGGATCAGTTTTTATCAGATCCGTTGCAGCCCCTTTTTTAGAGATTTGGGTATGGAGGAAAATAGAGAGGGTTGTGTTTTCTGACACTTGGTGAGTTCCCTGGAACACCGGGGACACATATTCATGTATAAAAGACGTACAAAAGTGCATTTTGCATGATAGGTCCCCTTTAAGTAAAGTCATAATAGTCAGATCGTTCTGAAGATAGACAGGGATATTCTATTCATTTGATTTCCTAACTTTAAACTCCGTACACAGAGCTCTGATTGGTCAGCAGGCAGTCCTTTATTCGAGTTGATCTCTTATCTCGAACGTAACTAGGTATTCAGAATAAGTAACCATGTTGATTTACCCCGGTAAGAAGTGAACCAGCGTCGTAGGACAAAACTCGGAGTTAACCCTGAAGTTACCTCGCAACCGCCATTCCTGCTTCTTAGTACATGCCTCTGGGAACACCAAAACGTGATACACGCAGCTGTTTATTCATATAAAAAAATGTTGTACAAAAATCGTATTGGTCCTCATCTTGTTCAAATAAACATGTCTCATCATAAAAAGTAACACAGTAAATGAAAGTTAATATTTAGTGAGTTACAGTAAACATTTTTCTTTCAAGGCAGCAATAACTGGCATAAAACATATATTTTTCCACAACTTCATATTCAATTAAGTTACTACTATGCAAACAAAACATAGTTTCTTTTGTGAATGAATCCACCTGGGTTTTCTTTTTCACCTGTGGAGATTTTCTTTTTCTTTCAAATGTAAGACATTCTGCGCTCACCTTTACCTGTCCCTTTTGTTTTATTTTAACCTCACCTATTTGTGTTTTGAAGTCTGCCATACACAGGCAGTTATATATTTCCAACAAAGCTGTTAGGTACTGTACTCTAGCTCTACCCAAAATCCCCCTGGGTATCAGGCCCTAAGGAGCCACATCTCCTTGACAGTGTGTCTGTGTGATGTTCATAAAGCAACACACAGCTCACACAAAGTGCTGTTGTGTTGAGACTGACATGTGTTATTCCTCCTGTGTATGGATGATCCAACTGGATTGAGTTAACTAGTAGTGATGACAATGTGAGACTCCATCTGCAGAGCTGAGAGTCACCCTGTTTGCCCTCCTCTCCCTCACCGCCACCTGGATACTCCCCCCCCCCCCCCGTTTCTGTTTAATATTCCTGCCACGTCCGGCTGGGGGAGCGGCATTAAATTGGGATCAGGCAGATTAGAGTCTAATATAGACGACTATTAAAGTCTCCAAATGAGAGACATGGGTTAGAGCCTGAGTGGGGGGGGTCAGTCTGCCTCCATGTCACTGCAGTCCTCTGCAACACACACTCACAAAACACACATTCTGCACATACACACCTATACATGTCCACAACAATGATACAGTTTGACATAAAACAGAGAGAAACATGTGACATTATCTTTAAGCAACAACTACCAATAAGAACAGTCAGTTATAATATAAATGCATTTTGTTCAATTTATTTAACCTGTATTTATCTTTATGTTTTATGTTTTCATCTTGGTTAGGATACCCATTAGCATTAGCACTAGCATCAGCTATTCTGCCTGGGGTCCACACACATACAGTCGAACATACGTTTAGCCACATACACACATCAGACATAAACTACTCACCTCGTGATATTACCAATCTAAAAAATAATAAAACCAAAAGATCATCCTTTCAAGCCAAACACCGGATTATCAATTAGACCATCTTGAGGAATTATGAACACACTTCTACTACAGTACAAATGAATAGTAATTCAAGGCAGACTTAAGTCATTGTCAAATGTATATGTATGTATTCATATTACACTCCAAGAGAATGCAGTGCTTTCACCCTGGTTCGCACTTAGTTTCCACCATAACTCATGGTTCATGTACATTCACACAGATTTTGCATACACTCATCCAGGAGGGACATTTACCCAAAGCAGTCTAGACATGCTCATAGTAGCTACATAACATTATACATAAAGTATTTAGCTTTTATAATAATAGTTTGATTCACTGTGATAGCTCTGGTGTGCAAACTCACTAACTACAAACTTACCAACATACAAAATCATGCAGCACTCTACTGAGCATTGTGTTTATTTATCTCTGTGACAATATAGAATTATAATACAAATAATACAATTAAATTAATAACCATGAGTACTGGTAACCGAACACATCCCAAACATTTTCTTTTCCCCGAGATATTTATTGTTGAACACATTCTATGACATTCTATGCCATTGACAAGGACTTGTATTTCAAGGTCTTGTATTTGAAATCCTGAAATCTTTTGGAATAATAACCTTCTGTTTGTTGCTGTTGTGAATGTTAACAACTTCAGTTTGAAACTGGGCTTCCTTGTAGCATGAGTATACCCCGGTACAGCTAAAGCCACTGGCTGTGGAAATAGTGAAATGTGCCTCTAGTAAGCAGCTTACAGGAGTTATATAATACACTGCCAAGAGTCCTTATCATAATTCATTTGGCTGCAACATATTTTCTTTTGGGTTTTCCTTTAAGTCAAAGGTAACACACAGGGCAGAGTGTGAGAGGATGGAAGAGGCAGAGTGCAGAAAGAGAGTTGGAATGCAATAAGAACATTGAGTGTTAAATGTAGGTCTTTGCGTCAAAAAAATGCATCTATTCCCAAGCAGTCTGTTTAGGTTTGATTTCTTCCAAGTGGAAATGCTCAATAATCTGGCATGTACACACACAGCTCAGTGTGGGCCACTGCCTTGTGTATCTGCAGATCTTAGAGTGACATTCCCTATGTCAGGCAGATGGTAACATTGTAGGTGACACTGAAGCGCTGTCACTGGACCATATCCTATCCACTTTAAGATCTGGCTGAACCTTGTCCGTATGTTCAGCATGTCCTTTAGGGAATGTCACGGAGCTGCCATGCTATTAACGGTACAGTGAGGGGGGGACTTTTATGACTTGAGTTTTTCTATTCAGTCGCTCCATTGAGAGTTCACTACAATACGATACGATGATACTTTATTGTCAGCTCAAGCCTGAACATGTTCTTGCATCACAGCAGCTCCATTTACAGCATCAACAAGGCAAACATTGAGACAAGAAACAGACATTCAACATAACATTACATCACAATATGTTCAAGACCCTTTAACGTACTCTTGTTTTCGGATTAAACTTCGTGCTTCATTTTAAGAATGACAGATGCACAAAAGAAGGCTTCACTCTTACCTATGTTATCAATGCGTCTTTACATATGTACGGTATTAACATGGACAAAGTATTGCATGTGCATAGCATAAATATTATTTTTAAAGGACATAAAGTGTGTTAAACAGGCTGTTCTAATAAACTGTTCACTGATCATTAAGTTCATTAAGACTGCATCTGACACTTTCTTTCAGGGACATTTTTATATATCTCAATTGTCAAGGATTACAAATAAATGACACAGACATGCATCAACATGCTGTCACTCTGGTCACTGAGTATGAACTCTCTTCAACATTGACGTCTTGATTCTCTTCACAAAGCAATCTGACGCTCCTGTATGATCTATGTAGCATTATGAGTGTTACTGTGTAACTCATGTCCTTTCATTGTTAGTGGGAGTAAGCTCTTTAGATAAATAATGTAAGATGTACATTGTAATGTGTAACATGAGCACACAGGACTGAAATGTGGTAATGTCATAAACCAGCTCAATCAACACAACAATACATGGTGTGTAGGGTTCTATACTGTGTGTGTGTGTGTGTGTGTGTGTGTGTGTGTGTGTGTGTGTGTGTGTGTGCGTGCGTGCGTGTGTGTGTGCTGCTTGATGCACAGGTTGGTTTAAAGCAATAATATGAATAGTATTGCTTTATAATAGCCTAATACAGTTACTGTATGTGAAATCTGTTGACATAATACATTTAATTAAGGTCAACGTCTCAGTTTTTTCAGTGTATAATACAGAATCAATAATATAGAAAAATGAAATAAGATCAAAGACAACATTTTACATTTCCATATAACGTGTGTATGTCTGTCTCTCCGCAGACATCCGTTGTTCCCCCTGCTGGCGCTGCTGTTTGAGAAGTGTGAGCAGGCCACGCAGGGCTCTGAATGCATCACCTCCGCCAGCTTTGATGTGGACATTGAAAACTTTGTGCATCAGCAGGAGCGAGAACACAAACCTTTCTTCAGCGAGGATCCAGAGCTGGACAACCTGGTGAGCTACACCCGTGATATCAACTCCAACTGAGCTTCAGTGACAGTGGTTTTTGATTCTTTTGTGATTTAATGTTTTAGCCAAAGCTGTCTTATAGTTAGTTACTTTAGACAATCTGGTGAACTTGAATGAGGTATATGAAAATAAAAATAAATAAAGCTGCAAATCAGAATCTGAAATATTTATGCCGAGGGAATGATAGTTTCTCCATTTTACATTTGAAAATGAATTCAATAAAACATACATACAAAATTAAGAAATAGAATAATAAAATACTTAAAGATAAGAAGTTAAGCTATTTGCAATATAAAGATACAATTAAAATAAAGATATATCTATACAAACATAAGAAGTTAAAGGTCCCATGTCATGGCCATTTCTACTGATCATAATTCCATTGTTGAGGTCTACTAAAATAGATTTATATTGTTCAATGTTCCAAACTCACATTGGTTTCTGATACAGCATCTCTGTATAGTATGTGTATTCACTCTCTGTTCTAAACGGCTTGTTGGAGCTCCTGCCCCCCCCCTCCCTATGAGCCCAGTGGCCGTCTACGAGACAGCGAGACACAGCGAAACCCAGCCCGAAACCAGCCCGAACACACACACACACAGTTTGTGTGTGTGCTCACACACCGACTCACAGCCTCGCCGCGTCCTGCCGTCTCAGGGAGGAGAAATCGGCGGAGCTGCAGCTGAGAAAAGATTGAGTGTGTGTGTGTGAGGAACCTAACGGCTCCGCGGAGGTAACGTAACGGCTCCACGGATTGGTCTATTTGGACCAATGGGTCCATTTGGGTATGGGCACGTCACTGTACCCAGGAAGAAAAAGAGAAATGTCCAACGAGGCGTTCTGGGGCAGCATAGACAGGTCTTTTCTGTGTTAGAGTTTTACTCGCTACAGGGTGTACTTTGAGGGTTTGTGACTCTGCAGACCGTTTACATGCATACAAACCTTCATAACACACAAGGGGACGGGTAATAACCGGAAAAGCATGACATGGGACTTTTAAAGTAATATTTCTAATAAGTAGTGTTAAGTAAAATGATAAAACAATGTATGTCATATGCCTGTTTCTCTGCACTGCATCCAATCATGCTGCTGCTGCCATTCACCTCCTTTTTCATGTCATCTCCTCCATCCTCCCCTTGCACCCCCCCTCGCACAACCGCTAGCTGTAATTACAAATGAAGAGAAGGAGGATGCTGATCATGTTCACTGAGTAAAGTGGCAGAGGAGGTGAAGCCAGACAGAGACAAGGCAGGAAAAAAAGTGCACACTTGCTGTTACAGTACTTGGAGTGCTGAACAGTCAATTAACCCTGCATCTGTGTGTTTTATGAGGCCCTGGGCACGGCCCCTCCCACAGGGCCCTAACTCTTCCCCAGGACAGTAATGCTACACTGGGCCACACTGGCTGCGATGGGAGAACAGTAACTGGTCCCTTGATTAAGTGAGCACAGTTTAATTAGCTGATTTATCTCCTCCTTGGCCAAGCACTTTTCTGTCCATTCTGTGACCTTGAGTGGTGACTTTGAGGAGTGAGCTGCATAGAGTGGAGAGGAGTCACTCTGGTGATGGAAAGATATCTGCTGGAGAGGAGAACACACAGAGTGATGTGAATATTGTACATTAACTGAATGATTTCTGTTTAAAGAAAATGTCACTTTCAAACAACGTTGTAAAAACATTAGGCCCAACATAGGCACATCAGTTTCCTAGCAACACAAATGATTAAATGTCTATATAATATGAAAGAAGTTCCTCTTGGACTGTTGCATTAATTTGAACTCTTTGAGAATGTCCGGGCAGCAATAGTTCCAGTTTAGTGTGGAGAGATGTTTCTTGACAGCTTCAGGGACATGAGCCTCATCCACCTTTAGAGTGAAGATTCTTAACTCCCCATGGTGGTTCAGATGCTGTCTCAAAGTCTTTGCTCTCCAGGAACAGTGTGGTGAAAGAAATCCTGGGAAACAACAGGGGGTGTCCATTACTTGGTTAGGGGAGATTGGGGTGAGATGAGCCAATGTTTACCTATGTTGTCCTCTAGGCAAGGAAAAAAGAGATTGAAGTCAAATGACAACAACCTTTACTTCAGGATGTCTTCTTTCAATCAAAAGGAAAATAATACATCTATAATAAAGGGCCTTGAAAATATGACTTCTAAAAAAGGTTGTCTTGCTGCTTAACTTGCTCTATCTAAGGGGTAAATTGATCCGACTCAAGGGAAGTAAAACATATATATCACCCTTTCTCTGCCACTACCTGTTTCGGTGTCTGCACTGTAGTGACACCTGTTTCCTCAACAATATAAATCACGTTTGGAGGGAATTAATGCCTGTAAAACCAACATGAAAGAGCCAGATCAGAACCCCCCCAAATAGATATCCTTGTTAACGTAGCTGGTAGGTAAACATATGTACCAGTGTGTTGTAAATGTACTGTACTAATTTGTATTGGCTAGTAGTCATTGAGTTATTCATGTTATCAAATGTGGTTAGTCTCTTATCTGTCTATCACTTGTCAAAAAACTCCTCCCCATAGTTTTATTATAGGCTGTAGCCCTTCCTAAAGATGTTACTTCAGGCGTACGGCAGGAAAGATGCTGGCGTTCCTTAAAATGATTGAACCGATCTAGACCTAAAAGAATATTATTAATTATATCAAGATTCTGTATTTAGCTCCACAAGACCAGTCACCCTTAGCTGACCTACTGGATCATGTGACCTCTCACACCCTACCTGCTGAACCCTTCTCTCTCCGGCTGTTTGGGACAGGAATGTTGTTCTTTCTAAATATTATGCAATATTTAGACCTATATGTAAACTTACTAGCTTTATTATGCTTTAACATAGTCTCAGTCTCACAGACTTCATGTGCCTGAGATGCAGTTGAAAGCTCAGAGTATGTGTAAAAAACAGGTTACTGTACACTGAGAACACTGAAACGCTGATATTAATTAAAAGTATTATATCAACAGATTTCACATAACTATATTAGGTTAGCTGAAATGAATAATATTTTGTTTAAATAAAAAATATTACATTCAACCTATCATTAATTATTTCAACTAACCTTACGTGAAACTTGTTGACATAATACATTTAATTAAAGTAAATGTTTCTGTTTTCAGCCTTAAATATCTGTTACAAGATTCACCCTTAAATATCATGCACATAGAGATAGGCGAGAGAGAAAAGATCCTTTAGAATTTGAACGAGATTTTCGGGACATTAAAGGTGGGGTAGGTAAGTTTGAGAAACCGGCTCGAGATACACTTTTTGTTATATTCCATGGAATGCTCTTAACATCCCGATAGCAATGAATATCTGAAGTGCTTTGACAAAAAATCCATGAAAAAATGTCATCTGTGGAAGCTGTAATACTGTAAAAAGTACGACCAATCATTTTAGCCGGCCCGGCTAAAATAACTGGATGGCCTACCTGCCTGTCAGCCTTCCATCTGTGCACAAACTTATCTCGTGCCCTCATTGGTCATGTGCGCGTTCATGTGTGTTGGAGGAGGGGCTCTGTAAGGAAGTGGCAGATTTTTTCCGGCTGTGTATTTTCAAATTCTAGCGATCTCGAGCTGGTTTCTCCAAAATTACCTACCCCACCGTTAACCTCGTTATCCTATAATGATAAAAATAAGATGTATTATTTGTTTGAATGTCGTAGCCTACAAAACCAGCTCTTCAGACAGACAGTGAAGGCGTATTAGGGTCGACCTCTCAGCATTGCATAAAAGAGGCGTGATCTTGGGAGAGTGAAGGATGGTGGGATTACAGCCCCCCTGTATACTTGCAATCTATATGCAACTCAGGATTAAATAATAAAAGACACTCCCTGCTCATCAAAAATGTAAATGGTTGAATTTCACTTGATCTCGTCACAAATCTTTCGTCACACCCTTTAAAAAACATACTTTAAACATCTCATCCCTGTCTCTGTTCATTTGACTCAGTTTAGTCAAAATGTGTGTTATGGCGCATTTCCACTACAGGGCCTCGCTCGGTATGGCTAGGCCTCGTTAGGCCTTGTTAGGACTGGCTCACTTTATGCCTAGTTTCCATTACAGTTTAGTATCTGGGGCAGTAACTATAGTAACGCAGTGTAGGCGGAGCCGTGACGTCATCTTCAATGAGAACCACAAAACCATCAGCCGTTAACTGTTAGCACTCAGAGCTCACAGCTCCTCATATATGTTCAGAAACTAGACAAAAGTTAAACAAGTACAAACCACAGACTGCCTGTGTCATGGTGAATACAGTCGCTGCTTTATTTATGTCTGTATAGGCCGTTGTTGTGAGTGTGGACGGTCGGAGCATATACTGCGTTAGCTTAGCCGATCTCCATTTAGAAAACACGCATTTTAAAAGGTTTTTCGCCTGCCGTCTGTCTGCAGACTTGTCAAAGCATTATTTCATGGTTTTTACTAACCGGTATCAGTATGTTGTTACTTCGGCATCATTTTGAAACGTGTATTACAATTAAATCACGGTCAAATATGTCCATCTTGTTGTAGTTGTAGTCCCCTTGCCAGCGATTCTCTCTCTAGTTTAGCATACTCAGCCTGGTTGTTGGCCCGGAAAGAACCACGATTTTATGGGGCCAGAAAAACTGTGAAATAGTACCCGCTAGCCGGAACTACGCCAAGTGGAAACGCAACCAAAAACGGGCACGCTTAAAGCGAGCTCCGCGCTGTAGTGGCAGTTGCGGCGCCAGAGTATTTTTGTTGGGTAATCTATGGTAGGGCTAACCCATACAGTGGTGGTGCTCAAGTCAGTATTTGCAATGTAATTACATACACGCTATATCGCCCCCCTTGACAGTGAAACGCCACGCGTGAGGTTTAGATTATTTCCCTGTCTCAATCAAAATGGAACTGTATGAAATAAAACGGCACATTTGTCTTGTAGTAAATAAAAAGGGATCACTGTGAACGTGACGTATGATAGTACATGTTGAAGATCCAATGGGGATACTGAATGGCGGTTTCGATTGATCTCAATCAATAAGGCATGACGCAGACCCAACGTTGCGTTGCTCTGATTGGCTGTAGGTCTATTGAAATTGCATTCGAAGGCATTTTGATCTGACCGCGGCCGAGCTGATATTATAACGCGAGAGAATTTCCACACCTTTAGTGTATAAAACTCCCCCACTACTTAGACTATTCCTTGCACCCCTCTTCTAGCATAACCCTGAATGGTCTCAACCATATTGCATCAGTAACATGCACTTGTTGTTACAGCAGGATCAGTTTGTGTGTTGTGGACACGACCCGTATATTTTTGCAATCCGTGTTCTCAACATTTAGCATTTTGCTTATTATTTAATTTAATTTGCTTACTTTAACATCATTTTTCATGGTGGGGCTAAGGTGGGGCTAAGCCATTTCTTGGTATGGCTGTAGCCTACCCCAGCCATACCCTGGCGCCGCCACTGTGTAGTGGAAATTCGCCATTAGAGTGAATGCAGAGCTGGTTTGAAGGATCATCTATGCAGCTGTATGAGAACAAACTTGAATCCATTCAATGATGAAACCTCTACATCTGTATCGTTAGCATGATGTTTTCAGTAACACATTCTGGGGCTCTGAAAGGAGATTCACAGTGTCTGTACTGTACTAACAGTTTCCAACAAAAACATCTCAAACTGGAGGATCTGTAAGACCCAGGATCTTGACTTATACTAGCTCTATGGATATCTTTGCTTTTGTTTTTTTTCAAATCTAGAACAAATTAGAAGCCACATTTAGGTTGCAAATTAATTGGTCGCTTTGTTAATTTGGACATGGAAATTATCTGAGAATTGTTAAATTATTGGTTGAAGTATACACTATTAATGTGTTTAATTGATTGCATATATTCACCATGCTAATTTCAAAATGTCTTATTGTTTGTTGGTTGGTTGGTCCATAACCTTGGTCCACACTAAAACATTTTAAGAGCAATTTGACAATATTCAATAGTGCCGACATGATCCCCTGCCTGTACGTTTTACTCTACCAGGAGACTTTGACTTATGACCAAAAACCTGCACAACTCATTTTCATCAGCCTCAGTTGTATGTTGTCTTACATGTTTAAGCACTAAACAAAATGTGCTACTCGAATCATCAACATTTCATTTTTAGCATGTGGCTAACATTTAGCTTAAAGCAGCACTCTGCCTCACAGAGCTGTTAGCATGGCTGCAGACTGAAAACCTTTAACATTTGCAATAAAGCTATTATTTTGGGGGAAAAGAGTCACTTAAAGCTGTTCAGAAAAATGTATGCGAAACTTTGCTGAAAATGGATTTCCATGCATTATTAGGTAAATAAAAGGTGTTTTGAAAGTGATTCCGTGTTTTAGCGTGTTGTGAAGGTGTTTCTTCTTTCCCTCTGTTTCCTTCAGATGGTGAAGGCCATCCAGGTGTTGCGAATCCACCTATTAGAGTTAGAGAAGGTCAATGAACTCTGTAAAGATTTCTGCAACCGTTACATCACCTGCCTCAAGACCAAGATGCACAGCGACAACCTCCTGCGCAACGACCTGGGAGGCCCCTACTCTCCGTCACACACCAGCCTCAACATGCAGCAGGTCAGTCACACACTCTGCTCACACTTCCTTCAGGGTATCTATCTCTGAGGAACACTCACAAAGATACAGCTTGTCCTTTATCACCAGGTAGATTTAGCTTTTGGACATTTTTCAGTAGAGCTATCTTTACATTGGCTCACTAGTGTCTCTCTGTGATCCCCCAGGAACTAATTCAGACCTCCTCTCCATCCATGACCTCTGTCTCCAGCTCTGTTAACCCTTCAGGGATACTGGTGTCTGCCGGGGGTCTGCAACAAGGCAATGTTACCATGACTACCATCAACTCCCAAGTGGTATCGGGTAAGCATGTGATAACACACAAACACCATGACACACACATACTGTATAATGTTCATTTTGGGTTTTGGTAGTAACAGTTAATGTCACATTGTTGAACTCATCTGATGGACTCTAAGTAGTGTAACATCCATAGGACTTGGATTCAGCCAAGCATTTTAATTTCATCCAGTGGAAAGTTTAGTTTCTTCATGTTGTCATGGTTATACACACCTAATTTCACATATTTTCTATATTATCAGTACATGGAAATATAGTCTATCAACTTTTGTGTAATTGTATATATATATATAGGAAATCAAGTGACAACAATTTCATGCATCACAAGCTTAAACAAAACACACCATTTATCAATTAATCACAATATTTAAATGCTACTTTGTTCAAACAGAATGTATGACATAGTGACAGATATGTGTGTTCGTGTATCAGAAACAGTGATTACATCCTTCAAAGGGTGCTTGGCTAATGTCGAGCCGGTACAGGGAAATGTTAATCCTGCCCTCTGGAAATCCCTTTTAACCCAAAATAAATCAATATGTGCTTTGATCACTACACACTGAGAGCTCAAACAGACTGTGATAAGAGTGTCTGATCAAGACTAATTAAGCCAGAAGCCAGAAGCCAAAGCACTCTCCCGTCTACTTTTTTCTCAGTTTAAGGACATTACTGCACCCTGAATCTAATAATTTCTTCTTCTGTTCGCCGTGTTCTTGTTTGCGAGGCAGACAAGAAGTTAATAAGGCTCTGGTGGCAGAGAAGTAGCTGCTGGAGCCACTTGATACTCATGACGGCAAATTATCCCCTCAGGTGGGACCCTGTACCAGCCGGTTGCCATGGTGACATCGCAAGGGCAATTGTTAACGCAGGCGCTGCCGCCGGGAACCATCCAGATCCAGAACTCACAGGTAGACCGTCACACGCCCTGTGATATCAACACTAACGCCTCATTATCATTAAGGCCTCTTTACACCTCACAGAGACCCCCCCCCCATCCCCCCGAAGCACCTATTCATGGTGTCTGTCTAAACACAGCCCCCCCCGCTGACAGACAAAATGGAAATAGTTTATTCCCATGATGTTCCTGTAGGGTTTGACTTAATGCATTTATACTTCATACTGTAGATTATTATATATCCTTTTTTGGTTTTAAAGATTTTAAAGAAACACAAGGTTAATACACTGAAAAAACTGAGACGTTGACTTTAATTAAATGTACTATGTCAAAAGATTTCACATAACTGTATTAGGTTAGTCAAAGCAATCATTTAAGTTTGAATAAAAAAATATTCGGTTCAACTTATTATTGCTTTAAACTAACCTAAAACGGTTATGTGTTTACATAATACTTTTTTCAGTGTACACAACATTTACAATCCTCCTTATGACAGTAAGTCAGAGTAATGAGAGAAACATTTTCTGGAATTTTAACAAACAGGAAATAATATAATATATTACCACAGATGTTTCATCTCTTTTCCATTGAAGGTTTAACAACTGTTGAACCAACATGAAAGCCTGGCATTGGATTGTTCATGACAGAACATTTGAATGTTTCCCTTTTTCCAGCTCAAAATGCGTCTGCAGTTATTTCAGGATATCTGGAACACTCTTCTTCTGCCTTTGAGTGTTTGTTATTGAGATGACCACTACTACTTATCCATTACACATTCAGCTGAATTATAAAAGTAAAGAAGAGGGTCACAGTTGTAACTAGAGAATGCAATTCCTGAAGAAATTGCTAGTACTGTAGGAATGCTTTATGCTGAAAAGCTGACGCTAAACTGCTATGCTGAAATGTAATGTGTAAGAAGAAAGTGAAGAATTTAGATTGAAATGATACATGAACACTGGGGGCTTGAATGTGTGATGAGCAGGGGCGTCGCCTGGACCTGAAAACATTCGGGGCTTAGCCCACAGTGGCGGCGGCACTACAGTGGCATTTTTTACTGCAACACTCCCCACACGCACACACACAGTACACCCGCGACTGTTACAATGAAGGCTCGATAATCAGCTCACGGCATATAGGCAGGGGTAAAGTGGTATTTTTTATGAGTGGGGGGCTCACCTCCTCTAGGGGGTTCCGGGGGATGCTCCCCCGGGAAGATTTTTTTTTAAATATTGAAGTTAAATGCATCAATCTGGTGCACTTTGAGAGCAAAATGAAGAGATCTATGGATACCTCTCTCAACACCCATATGAAGCAGAACTGTAAACAGATGTTCTTTTTCTTTATGGATATTTTACTAATCACTCCCCTTTTAAACTCTATTCTTGTTTTACTGCCATATAGTATTTCATAACTGTTTTTACTTTATTCTCTTTTTTTTAATAACTATAATGATCATATGAAGGTGTGCCGCGGAAATAATCTTTTGAATAATTTGTGACCAAACCGTTTGAGACCCACTGAGATAACTTAGACTAAAGTTAAGTATCTAAACACTCAGAGAGTCCTTTAGCTCACCTGAGTCTCTCAGTCTGAGAGGAGAGGACTCTCCTCCAGCTTCTTGTGGAACAAACAGCTCCTTATGTCCGTTAGTGCAGCTAGCTAACCAGATGCTAACAACACGGTCCATGCTGACACCTGTCCCTCCCTCCCCCTCTCTCCCTCTCTCCCCCCCTCTCTCTCTCTATCATACTAAATGCGCTATTGCCACACACACACACACAGAGCCGAGCTTGAATGACACAAGCACACGTTTATTTCCATGCAACTCTCTGATTGGTCTGGTGTCATGCCTCTGTTGCATTCACTGAACACGGGAAATTACAGTGCTGCCGTCCTCTCGTGTCATGATGAGGTTCACGTAAAGCACGGTTAATGTATTATATTATTGAGGGAGAATTGTCCGGGGCTACAGAAAAAACATTCGGGGCTAAAGCCCCGGATGCCCAGGCCAGGCGACGCCACTGGTGATGAGAGAAGAAAAGAAAGTAAAAAGGCTTGGAAAAGCAGCAGAATATTTGAAATGCAAACTTTTGAACTAACTAGATGGCGAATGATCTGTCGCCATGCCAACGGCATTTGATGACATCCCATAATACGCTTAGATGCGTTGATGGCTATGTTACCAAACCTGTGAAGTTTTGGGCCATTTGGAGCATTTTCACTGAAGTTATGAGAAAACCGTGTTTCATGGCAGGCATTGTGTTGCCATGGCATCAGCATTCCCACTAAATTAACAAGGACCCACAGTGGTTCACCTGAAGTTGTTCAACTTGTAAAGCTAACTGCTAAATTACAGAACCACTATTAAGCTCGACTATATTTTTACAGTGCATTTTTTTAAATCTTTCACTCAGTTTTAATCTCTCAATGTTATTCACTTGTTTATCTGTACCCATTTAGACAAGCTCCAATCCTTACATATCACCACAGCTGAATATAGAATGTAAACACGATACATTTAAAAGTGTTACGATTTCCATGCTGTTTCAAATTATTTAAGTGTAATTATTTTGTTAAAATATTAATAGGAGAGGAGAGTGGAGACCTTCAAACCTTTATGACTTATTTATCATTGAATCCACCGTCACAGATCCTCCTCTGTTAAGCATCAGGAGCAGACGTCAGTTAGTTCTGCTCAGAGTTATCAGGTCTTTGTTTGGCTCCGAAACGGAGGCACAGGGAATCTGTTCTGGGTAGTTACTGCTGACTCATCTGAAGGTAGTCACAACACAGGACCGAGGCGACAGACTGAAGGAAACAACAGGCGGACAGGTGGAGAGCAGACACAACATTCTATGGGAACACAAAAACACAGTATTACATTTCTAATTAAAAAGTAGGTAGTTGGCAGCAACACAGGAAATTAATTTAATACTTGAAACTAGTATCATTGATAAAAACGTTCTGAAATAATTTGGGGCAGCATTCTTTAACTTTTGTGGACTACAGACAGTAACTTACTGCAGTCTCACTTTAAGGAAGTGTCCATTGTGAGTGTAAAATGATGATTAACTTGAATGTTAACATGCTTTCAGTCTCTAAAGTTAACATTTGTATTTGTTTTGGAAATATTCGAACAAGACCACATTATAAAAACCTGCCGAAGACAATGAACAGTTAGAACTTATTTTCCTTTTGCATGTCATGCTCTTCAGACAGGGAGTCTTTGTTACACTGGCAGAACATGTACTGACTACTTACTGTGTTTGAACCATTAACCTAAAATCCAGGTGGGTGGGTAATTAGAATTCAGAATAGATTAATTCAGACGATTTTGGTTCCATTATTTCTAGACATTTAAATATTGTGCATGACTCGGAAGACATTTGGTGGATTTGATGTATCACTGGGGATGTCAGTCTTTGTGTGGCCTTCACAGTCTCAACTGCATATAAGCAGGGAGCGGGGGGGTTAAACAGTGACCCATGTGGCCAGAGGTGGGAGAAGTACTCAAATCTTGTACTTAAAGCTCCCATGTCATGCTTTTCCGGTTATTACCCGTCCCCTTGTGTGTTATGAAGGTTTTTATGCATGTAAACGGTGTGCAGAGTCAAAACCCTCAAAGTACACCCTGTAGCGAGTAAAACTCTAACACAGAAAATACCTCCCCAAAACGCTTCGTTGGAGATACGTCACTGCCCATTTGATTCTTCCGGGTACCGCCTGATGTCATGCGGTACCCGGAACGAAATGGACCAATCCCGAAGAGCTATGGCCACACCAGCAGCGGCGTGTTCCTCCTCCAGAGGTTCGAAGAACCGGCATTTCACAGACGAAAGCTTCCAAAACATTGCCCAGTTTGAGGCCGGATATGCACAGCTTGTTTGGACCGTTTGGAGCAGGGGAAGATCTGGGTATACAACCTGTAAGTTTGCATTGTTATGTTGTGTATTTATCAAACAAGACTGTTTAAATGTGTAAACTGTGTTGGACTGCTAAGCCATTGACACAGTGCTAACTGTGCTAACTAAGTTGCTAGAGTTTCCATATATCAACTCTAATATCAGCAGATGGCCTTGCATACATGTATCTCATAGCAGGAGAATGTCTGCATTCACACACAAAATACCTATTGACAGTATACTCCGGGTGATTTGCCGTGCGGTCAGTCGCGAAACGTAATTACATTATAGCTGGCGTAGCGTGTATGCAACCAATCTAACACACGGAGCTAGAGCTAGTTTTGGTCGGAAAAAACATTTTTGTGATGCTACGTTGCTAGCGTTTAAATATATCAACTACAATGTCAGCAGATGGCCTTACATGTTTGTCATGGCAGGAGAATGTCTGCAGTCACACACACGGAATACTCATACAGTATACTCCGGGTGATTTACCGTACATTGTGACCGTACATATACTGCATGTAGCTAACGAGGCTAGCTGTATGCTAGCGCAAAACAATGTATTCATGCAAGTTACATTGTATGGTAGCAGAATACCCGTATACGATTGCAATTATAAACACCTTATTGCTAGCCTAATATGAACCACTAGCTTTTGTTCATAGTAGTTTTATTACACTGCATTATAGTTGCCTTTCCTCCAAGCTAACGTTCATATCGTGTTAGCTACCAAGGTAAACAAAGCTAGGTTAGCATATTAGCAGGCAAGCTGTTCATTACACAACTACTACTAACGAATCTAAAACAACTAAGTTTCTCTAATATTTTGTGATTTGCATTTGATTTCGTCCAGCCAGATCCTGGCGGACAATCCATGACGTGCTAAAAGGCACTTCTACTACTACTGAGGCCTCGTGCTAAAAGGCACCGCACCGACTGTGCGCAGGCAAGATGCGAGGAGGAGGAATGAATGATATACCGTGTGTATATATGTATATTTATATTTATTTTGTACATTTCTAAAAATAAAGTTTAATGGAAATACTTAGTAGGCCTATCCTTTCTTCCCTGAATTCATATATAGCAAACCATGATTTGATTTCTCATCAAACAGTAGTAGTTTATAACGGGTAAAAATAACTTACTCTTTGTTATGAGCCACAACGGAAAGACAAGGAGACATACACGAGTTTACAAAACCACGGCACATTTATTGTGGTAAATGCAGAGATAGGTGGTTGAGAGGATCGCAGAGTTAGTCTTCCTGCAGCCGCTTTGGAGAGAGACTGGGGCCGTCGTGTCCGAAGGTGTCCGTGATCGTGCTGATTAGCCTCTTCAGCTCCACCCCATCGTAAGACAAAGGCCCTGGGGCCGTCACACTCTTCTATAACAACAGTTAAAAATATATATGTATATAAAATATACGGCTGTACCGACGCCATGATAAGACTGATGTTACGCTGAGAGCAGCCGGGAAAAGCACTGTTAGACATGGGCGCAGCCTCTCTGGTGGTTGACTAATCAGAACGAGTGGCCGAGCTGACCAATCGGAGCACACTAGGCTCACAGGGAGGGGGGGGCAAGAGCTCCAACGAGTCGTTTAGTGGAGAAAGTGAATACTGCTGAATACACATGCTTGACAGAGATGCTGTATGCGAAACCAATGTGAGTTTGGAAAATTGCACAGTATAAATCTATTTTAGTATACCTCAACAATGTAATTATGATCAGTGGAAATGGCCATGACATGGGCCCTTTAAGTAAAGGTAGAAGTACCACAGTAAAAGTCCTGCAATTAAACTGTAGTAAAACTAGAAAAGTATTATCATCAAAATATAGTTAAAGTAGCGACAGTAAAAGTAGTCATTGTGCAGATTGGTCCATTTCAGAATAATATATATGATATGTTTTATAATGATTGATCATGAAAGTGTTCTCAGAGCTGGTAAAGGTGCAGCTAGTTTGAATGACTTTGTATACTGCAGGGTAGCTTGTGAATTTACTCCAGGTGGAACTAAAGTCTGATTTAACACTTGATTATATTTCACATCATTCATCCAAATCTGTAAAGTAACTAAAGGTATTAAATACATGTAGGGAGTACAAGTACACCATATACCTCTGAACTGTAGTGGAGTAGAAGTACAAAGTAGCAAAACATTGAAATACTCAAGTAGAGTACAAGTCTCTCAAAATTGTACTTAAGTACAGTACTTGAGTAAGTCAGTCAGAGGAGGCCTCGGTGAATATCTGAAGCAGAGTGCTACATGTGGGTCGGGAATTAAACACAGCCCCGTTGCTACTTTACCCATAAGCCCCGAGTAATCACACTCTCCAGCTCCGTGCCGCCAATTAATTCAACCTTGCTTTCCCCCTCAACACACGCCCACCCCCGGGCTGAGGGGGGTGAGAGGAGGAGCCCACGTGACACCCAGCTGCAGCTGTAATGACGCTTGTGGGGGGGATGATAGTATGTGTGTGTGCATGTATGTTTGGGTGAGGGGGGTGTCTGTATGGTTCTGAGTGAATATATAGGATCGTCTGTGATTTATCTACGAGATCCTTGTAAGTCTTTCAACTACCACGCTCCACATCAAATTATTCAATTACATATTCTTTAACAGACCTTCATTTTTTATTTATTGATGCATTTTGTCCTACATACTCATGCTTATGAAATGTTCATACAATATGCCCTACTATACTCTAAAGTGTGTTAGCATTCACATATGGGTACTTCATTCATAATGACACATTAAAATGATTTCTCTAATTTTATATTTATATATTTAAAATATGCAGGCAGTGAAAGTGTGCAATGTCAGTCTCTGTATGTGTATACTTATTTAAGTAGTTTTATTCAGAGTATGACGTGTAGCATGTAGTGTCAGAGGGGATTTGGTAATGGCGACTATTGAGGGTTCATTGTGTTTCATATTATCTGCCTCAGAGCACACACACACACACATTTATCTACACAAGGAAATGAACACAGACTGGTGTACTATAGGGGACACACACAGACGCACACATATTTTAATTTCTCACACAGGAGAACATTATATCAATGTCCACTGTTGAGGGCTAACCTTTAACCTTTACAAATACTGTCAATACAATGTGAATAGATTTTACTGCACACAATGGTGGGCTCTTCTGCTGACGGTACAAATACCTCACATAGTTTTTTCTTTTTACTTTCCTTAAATACCAGCAGCAGAAATAAGAGATTATTTCTACAGTTACTATTCTGCAGCACAACCCTTACATGATGTGCTCCTCACTAGAACATCCAAACAGTTGACTCACTTCAACCTCCTAACATTTTGGCTGCTGGTCGACTCCGTTTGTTTTCTCTGAGCTTGATGGGGAAAGAGCCTAACGCAGCGTCCACACGGCGGCGTGCGTTGAAGCTTGCCGGTGGGCGTGAAACTCGACCAACAACCAATCACATGAATCTCCCGCCCCGGACACACAAGCACGCGGTTTGATTGGCTAGAGCTTGTACTGGCATATGATTTGATTGGCTGACGCTTGCTTCCGTCGAAGCTTCAAAAGTTGAACATTGCTCAACTTTTGAAGCGAGCAATGCGAGCAAAGCGAAGCGACGGAACCACAATGCAGTTCGGCAAAGCGTGACGTCACCCCATTCAAAGTGAATGGGCAGAAGCGTTGAAGCTTCAACGCACGCCGCTGTGTAGACGGGCCCTAACGGCCCCTACAGTACACACGGCGGCGTGCGTTGAAGCTTGCCGGCGGGCGTGTCTGAAGCACGACCGACAACCAATCACATGAATCTCCCGGCCCGAACACACAAGCACACGGTTTGATTGACTAGAGCTTGTACTGGCATATGATTCGATTGGCTGACGCTTCCGTCGAAGCTTCAAAAGTAGAACATTGCTCTACTTTTGAAGCGAGCAATGCGAGCAAACCAAAGCTTTGCTCCCACAATGCAGTCCGGCAAAGCGTGACGTCACCCCATTCAAAGTGAATGGGCAGAAGCGTTCAAGCTTCAGTTTTAGCATGCAGTAGAAGTATTATTTTCACCTGTTATTATATGATGTATTTGAATATTTCTGCATACCAGGATCCCTTAACATTGAATATGTAATTCAGGGGTATTGCCGGGATAGCTGAGAACTGTGGATTCAGTTATATTCTTGTGTGATGATGTCAGTCCCCATATTTCATTGTTGTGAGACCATTTTCTGCAACGTGTTTGAAATGAGCTGTCCATCACAGGCTGAGAAACTTAACAGCCACAGACTACACACTGTGGACGTCCAGGCCAGGAGATGTATGACATAGCTTTATTGACACGAAAGGATTTTTTAAACAGTTTTCAACAAAAGGAAGTGCAATCTTCGTACAATGCAGATCCTACAGAAATCTGAAAAATATATGTTAGTGTGTGTCTGTCTTTAGAGCTAAAATGCTCAAAGCGTTTACATGTGGATTAGCCGTCTAGCCAAAAAACAAAGTTTACTACGGATTTTGGACCTGAAAAACGTTTTTCCGGTTCCACATTTTCAGATGATGTACACCACTTCTATACTGATTATAGCCTCCTCTTGACTTTTTTTCTAGCCCTGTCCTCTACGCCCTTAATAAAAAAGGTGCAGCATGGAAGGGGGCTAACTTAACCTTGACCACCACCACAGAACTCTTGATGGCCATCATAATCTGAGATGTCCAGTGGGTGGTGTGGTCAGTCCTCCCAAGGCTCAGCCAGATACACACACACATCCATGAGACCACCGCAGGCTGTGAGACATGTCAATACTCTGAGAGCATCTCGTCCTTCAGCCCGCACTCCAACCAATAACCTCTAATAGTGATTCCTCCCTGAACACAAAGACAGGCTTAGGTCAACACAAATGAAAAACCCAACTAAACGCAGTGCCACTTTGTACCAGAACCTTTATAATTCAGCAGCAAAGTGTGAAATCCAACTTTGACAGAGGGCTGAAGCAGTGAATAGACGACTGACTGACCCTCTTGTATTTCCACATAGTCAAGGGTGCTGCTTTTTTATATTTTAAGTATCATTATTCAAATTCAGTTTCCATGGTGACACTTGAGGAGGTGTTTCTGCCCTTGCCACTGAAAAAAAGAGAGGTAATTGGTAGTCTCCCTTTGTTGCCATGGCAACAATAACTAAGCCCTACCATCTATCCCTTTCTTCTCCTTTCATTATCTTTTATTTTGTTCTCATCTCTGCTCTTCCTGCTTTTTATCATAAAGTTAAACATGGACCTGGCGTCCCTGTTGGACAGCGAAGACAAGAAGTCCAAGAATAAGAGGGGGGTCCTGCCCAAACACGCCACCAACATCATGCGCTCCTGGCTCTTTCAGCATCTCATGGTGAGGCACAGAGTGTGTGTGTGTGTGTGTGAGTGTGTGTGTGTGTGTGAGTGTGTGTGTGTGTGTGTGTGTGTGTGTGTGAAATGTTCATGCAGGTAGGCCTTTCTAAGGGTTAAAAAGTGGCAGCTATAGGAGCAGAGAGGATGATGTGAGAGATGTTTATATGTTTATGGAGAGTAAGTAAGGAGGACGTTTTCTGGGTGTCAGGAGGTAGAGCATTTCAGTGTTTGTAGTACATGAGGAGACCAACTTATTAGTAAGTGGCACATGAATGACATTCATTGAAGAAAACGACTTTAAAACTGCTGTGCTGGTTCTGCCTTCTTTCAGCACCCATATCCAACAGAAGATGAGAAAAGGCAGATCGCAGGACAAACAAATCTAACCCTTCTGCAAGTCAACAACTGGTAAGATGCTGTATTCCTATGAGAAGAATGCATACAAATGTATGCAGAAAAATACTGTTTGTATTATTTGAATAGTTGAGGTTTTACTTGAACTTGACCATAGAGCTCCTCAGATCCTGACACGGTGCTGCCCCCTGCTGGTCGCATGGATCAGGTACACCTGAAGTGGGCCTTCAGAATCAGGTTTAGTTCAGAATCCTGATGGTCCGAAGCCCCCTGCCAGAGGGGAGTGTGTCGAACAGTTTGTTATGTTTGTCATGTTATGTCCCTCTCCTTTCTTAAGAAACAGAATTTAAATGTTTTAATCATATTTGAGAATACTTTTGAATAATCCACTTGAAAAGGCAGTATAGAGGAGATAGAAGAAGATGAAAGGATATGTTGAGTTTGTTGCTACTATTTATGTTTGATTTCTGATCATTGTACATTTAAGGATATAGTCAATACTGTTGTATTGACCTTTATTGAAGCTCACCCTGTTGTGGTCCTCTGTGTTTAAGAAACAAACTCTTCATTTACTCTTCCCCAAATTGATCTTATTTCAAAATACTTTATCCACTAAGCTGTTTTATGGTTGATAATATCATGCAATGGTTTTCTTAAAGGGAACCTATCTTGAATCTGAAATGTCATGTTCTGGTTCCCCCAGGTTCATTAACGCTCGCCGGCGGATCTTGCAGCCCATGCTGGATGCCAGTAACCCGGACCCCGCCCCCAAAGCCAAGAAGATGAAGTCCCAGCACCGGCCCACCCAACGCTTCTGGCCCGACTCCATCGTGGCTGGAGTTCTGCAGGCGCACAGATCAGGGAACAACTCAGACAGTACGGCACACTAACATTTACTAATAAAGAAAACAGAACAAACACATACAATGTTTTGAATGTAACCTGAGTGTTATCCCCACTAGATGTCACTGTTGACTCTTTGTTTATCAAGGTGAGAATATGTGAAGGCAAAAGTATACATTTCCTGAAAAACATCTGTCTTGTGAGTGTGTTTTGAAACACTATCTTGTGAAAATAACACATAAATAAATCGTTAATTTCAAGCCTATTTTTAAATTAAAGATGTTAGTCATTGCCTGTTATTCATCATCTGCTTATTAATGATCTCTATTCTGCAGCTGTAGTAGGTAAAGACAAAGAATCCAACTTTTCCGCCATTCATTTAAACAAACAGTGATACAAATAACAGTAGTAGTATTAGTTGTAGTAGTGGTAGTCATAGTCCTAGTATTAGTACTAGTAGTAGCTTCATAGTCAAATCTGTTTGTTTATTTATTGGTGTTGTTTGTGTTCCATCAGGGAGACATTTTGAAATGCTCTGCCTCTAGGCATTAGTGTACATTATTAATTGTGTATTTGGTGTAAGCACCACACTTTACACATTTGAATTGAAAGAATATAAAAAAAACTCCAAATCAACTTATAGTGCAATTTAATGTGTCTCCATTATTTTGGTCCCTGGTATTTAATTATTTAAAATAGTCCTTTTAAAATGACGTTCATTGGCTACCCTTACCTTGACTGCATGGAAGTACATTTAGAACAGTAGCCTGCACAGATAAATAGAAGAGTCTGTTTATATATCCTCACCCCCCCTCTGTTTCCTGCCCCCCCCCCAGACCCGCTTATGGACAGTCTCCAATCGCTGTCCTCGGACTCGGCCACCCTGGCCATGCAGCAGGCCATGCTGGGAGCAGACGACTCCATGGACGGCACCGAGGAGGAGGAAGAGGAGGAGGAAGAGGAGGAGGAAGAGGAGGAAGGAATGGAAGAGGAAGAAGAGGAGGAGGACGGAGATGGAGAGGAGAATGAGAGGGGAAGGCAAATGTCCAGCGGGGGAGGGGGACAGAGAGACCTGCGCATGGAGCACAGAGAGGATTTAGAGTAGTGGTCTAAAGGAAGAGACTTGAATCCATCGTCCTCTCAGACTCATCACAGCCAACATGGACGGCTCTGATGCTGAGTGACTGAGAGAAGCATGAGTGTGTTTCCATCAGAGACTCCATGGAGCCTATTCACACTGACCATCACAGCTACAGAGGACTAATATGAGTTTAATGACAAATGTGTGTTGTTCCGTTTTATTATCGTATGTTCTAATGCAGTGAGCCCCTGAAATATTTGGATACACTGAACAAACTGAAACGTTGCCTTTAATGAAATGTATTATGTCAACAGATTTCACATAACTGTATTAGGTTAGTTGAAAGCAATAATATTCATATTATTGCTTTCAGCTAACCTAATACAGTTATGTGAAATAACACATTTATTGTGTAGAAGCACATTTGAGCTCCTGTTAGTCATGGGCAGAAATGGCGCAGGAACTTAAAGGTTTAAACGATAACTGCCCGTTTTAAATTGAGAGATATGAACTACTTTACAGTAACTGTTTAGAACACAGCCATGACATGTCTGAGGCTGAACTCAGGTTACTGTCAACAGAAACATCTTGAGTAGTCGTAGATGCATCAAAAAAAAAAAAGATCTTTGCACAGTGAGATGTTTTGACTGCATGTGAAAACAATGCAAACATAATTGGTATATCTCCAAAATTGCAGCACCATTAAAAGAGTTACAAGAAGATCTGCAGCTTTTTAACTCTTCACTTCATGCGACTGAAAGTACTCTCAATGTTTCACTCTCAGTCAGTAAGTGTGTCTTTTGCTTTCTAAAAATAGAGTGAGGTTCTTAAAGAAAGGAACATTAGAAAAGGTGTGAAGCTGTTTGTGTTTGCTTCCACTGCTGGAACATCGTCACGCCTTCTCATGACTCATGGGTTCTCAGGTCGGCTACACTCACTCTGTGTGTTACTTCGTCACTTGACTCATTGCTGCAGAAAACCTTTTAGAGCATGACTTTTCAATCTTTTTTTTTTGTTCACATTGTTTCTCTTCACCCATGAGCAAAAAAACGAATAAACCAGTGTATGCTGACTGCACATACAGTATAGTATGTATATCAGATGTTTTATGTTTGCATTCGGCTGTTGAATGTTTGCATATTTATTTTGTATTTCTTTGCATGGCATCAGAGTAGCTGAAGGAACAACAGGACATGTGCTACACTCTTTCTGAATCAGGCCGTTGTATTACTTGGTGACCATGCACATACTGGACTTCAGCCACCAAGTCAGTCTTAGAAAATTGCTTATGTATTTTTATGACCTCGGGTGATTCTGTCACAAAATAAGAGCATGGCAAGCACTGCAGTCAGGACGAAGTGTCTCACCCTCTCCTCAACATGAAGCGGAATCACACAGACCGCCAATGGCCAGTGTCTTTTACTGACAAACTTTTCAAGGCGACAAAGAAGAGAATTTTGAAAAAAGTGAGAAAAAGAGAAAAATAACTCAGTAGAAAACGTCTCTTTCAATTTTATGTGAAGGATTTTGAAGAAACTGTGAAAGAGTTCTCTGTTTTGTACTAAAACACACATTGAGTTGCTCGTTTCTAATGTGAAGATGTCTAGAAAAAGAAACTCCATGTTATATTGAATGTTCTGATTGTTCATTGTGAAGTTTGTTGCTCATTAATATTCTTTTCTCAGTTGATTTTTTTAATGGATCTTCTACAACCAGTGGCAGACAATAGGGAATATTTCTATTTCATTTGTACACTTGGTTGTCATAATCTATTGTGTTTCAATAGATCAATTTGAATAATTAAAACATGTAAAGGTACTGACTTTGACTTTGTGAAATGAAAGTTTTGCATGTGTTTAGCCTGAATGCATCCTGGGAAAGAAACTCCCAAACAGGAAGTACTCAGTTGAATTTATGAGAATATTTAGAGATTCAAGCACTATAGTTAAACACTAGATAATAAACAGGGCATTGTTTCCGTAGAGTGAGGCATACGTGTGTGTGTGTGTGTGTGTGTGTGTGTGTGTGTGTGTGTGTGACACTTCCCAACCCTCTCACTCCCTGATACATTGTAACATGTTTCCAGATTATAGAGTTAGTCTAAATATTGGTTTAACTTCCCTCATTTCCCTGTCCAATGTGCAGCCTCCCACCCACTGGTTAAAGCTGCAGCCTGTGATTTCACTTACTGGAAGATGCCCGCCCAAACGCTCTCCAACGACTATAAAAAACTCTCCACCACAGGGTTTGTACTCCTCAATGTGGATTCTGCCTCCTCAGAGTAAATGTGAATAACTCCTGTGGGTGTGCAGTGCACGGGCCACATTGTATTGTTTTACAAGGCTGTGTATAATTAATCCTTGTTTTGTTTTTCTTCCCACCTAAAAAAAAGGTCATTCTTTCATTGCAGATACACTTATTAAAATATCTGTTATTCTCCTCTGCTACTTCTCTCCTCCTTCAGTGGGAGGAATTTGAATTGCAGTAGCTATGATGAGCTTCAAAATGATATACTGGAAGGTAGCTATCATGTGATGGGCTATTAATCCTTGACATTAGCAAGACATACTCAAAGGATCTCAAATATGGGAGGAAATCACCATATTTATAAAGTCATCTAATACAAAATAAAGGTAGTTTGAGAGTATGGGCATTACAAAATGTCTTCTATAATTGTTCCACACGGGACTTGTGTACAGCAGGTCAGAGGAGCCTGTGAGCCTGTATGAACAGGAAGAACACGAGTCTCCATACTGCAGCTGGGGTTGGAACTGTTATTTATCATGGGGTAGCATTAGCAGCAGAACCGGTCATACATAATGACTGGAGTATTTGTTATTTATACAGAGTCAGGTTGGTGCTGCAGTGTGGTCCACCTCAGGCAGGCAGGGTTCAGGGTTCAATGAATACAACACTGAATAATGCATGGAGGGTAGACTTCAATATTTGAAATATGTTATACACCCTCAGGCTTGGGGAGTAACAGATTACATAATGGGGTTACGTAATCAGGATACAAAAAAAAGGTAACTTATTATTCACTTTCAGTTACATTAAAAAAATATGTAATCAGATTACTGTTACTTTAAAAAAGAAATGGGGATTACAAGAAGGATTACAATGTTATATATTACATAGGCTATACATTTTAAGTCACTGTAACTATCTATCTTCAAAATCCTGTTTCATAGTTTACCTTTTTGACCTCTATTTGTCTGAAGACCAACTCACAAAGACAAACAGTGCATGTATTCTGATGATTCTGATCCATACACTTCTCATTCCTACATTTCTTTTTTGAAGATGATTAAGGCTGCAATTTGCATAATGTTTCATGAGCATGTGAAAGGGCATTTGTACAATTAGACTGGTGTCATAACAAAATAATGATCACCTCACTCGTCTTTACAGAGTATTTTAGAATCTTTTTTCTAACTTCTTTGCCTATGTTTTGAATCGTTTTTATTTAACGAGAAACCCACTGTATACTTCTTCCATGTCCATTCAGAAGTCATACAAATGTGATTATACACAGTGGAGCAGTAGGCAACTAAAGAGAGGGACTACAGATGGAAATTAGCTCAAAGCTCAAATCCGGCTCATTTACACTTGTAAGCATTATTTTGTTTTAAAGTGTTCATCAATGTGCAATGATTCAAATAAACGATTTAAATGAAATGAAAAAAGAGCCAGATATTCACTGGATAACAAAAACAGACCAAAAGTCAAATGGATGTTTGACTTTCTTATCGGATGGCAACAGAACTCCAAATGAATGACTAATGTTTTGAGTACAAATTCTTCAAATTACTATTCCCCTCTTCAGCTAAGTGGCTGTGACTGTGGGGCTCCCTATCATCACAAAATATAACACAGACACATATCAAACAGAGGCCATGCAATGAAGGCTTGTTTGTTAGTTTCATTTGTATACCGCATGTTTTCAGATTCAGAAACCCCACAGTTTAGTTTTTTCCATCCACAATGGTACTGTCAGATTTAATCAAATGCAAAGTTATTTTTTCTCTCAAACCCTGCGTTGGACAGAAACATGACTATCCCTGAGGCTGAAGTGCAGTAAAAATAGTCTCAGAATGACAGAGGCTGGAAAAGCCGCTGGCCAGGGTTCACTTGTTTGAAGTGGGCCACAGTCACCGTGCTTCACAGCCTGAACTGCCTGGCCCAGTGTAGAGTACTGGAGGTCTGCTGCAGTGCCATCTGGGCGCCTCCATGCTCCCAGATGTCCTCTCTGTAATTACAGCCAGACTGGGCTCGGCCCGGTCCAGCCCAGATCCAGCCTCTCCTTTACAGAGACCCTCCCTGAATACTTAAGAAGCTTTCCAACACTGTGCAGGCCCTTAGAGGAGGCATTTTTCTAATAGTTTAACCAAAGAAAGCTGGAAGACATAAGGTAAGTTGGCTCAGATTTCCATCATATGTTTGCAATGAGAACATTTAATAATGGAATTTCATTTCTACTGGAATTTTCCCAGAATTGGAAAAGTAATCCACTACAGGTTTTTTATTCCTTTAAATGTATAGGTACCCGTGCTAAGGTAGAGATAATATAGAGAAAGGCAAGCAGTGGCATGTGACAGAGGTCATGAGTCTGATTTGTTCTGACAGCACACTTTATCTTCTCTGCTACCTAAATGTGTCAACAAAAAAAAACACTTTTTCTTATCACTGGGCAGGAGCTCAAAATGTCCATCGCCCAGATCGCGGCCAAGGCCATGCTGTCTGACGCCCTGTTGCAGGGCGGCCCCGGGCTGGACCGGCTCAGCCACCTGGAGCTGGAGCTTCCTCTGGACAAGGTCATCAAGTTTGTGTCTGTGGGCCTGCCGCTCATGTTGGTGGGCATGGCCTTCGCCCGCGAGATCTCCCTGGGTGAGCAGCTCTGTCTTTTTGATGATATTTTCTGTGTTTCAGTTACACTGTTGTGCAGTTTTGCCTTGAATTCTTTATAAATGACCTGCTAAACTGCATTTTGTTGAACTTGTGATAAGAAGTAATAGCATACAAATGTAAAGGTTCAACATTAGCATAGGAGTTTAGACAGAAATGTAATTTTTCATGTACTGAAGAAGTGAACCAAATGTGTTGCTATTACAGAGCTTAGTTTAAAAACATCTTCCCCAGGTTTTTATCCTGCAATCAGATACATCTCCTCATCCATTTACATTCTTACATGAAGGAACTAAATAAACAGAGCAATAAGAATGAATTATGTAATTATATGGCACTTTACTTAACAATATTAGGGTCCTGTCATACAATTGGAAGAAAACACTTAATCAACACCTATCATAACATTAGGATATTAACTTCTGACTTCAAAACCTCCATCAGCAAGATCTCATTTACATGTTGACTAAGGTAATATGCTTACCTGTCTCTCAGTTACACCAAAGGGTATACAAGGCGTTACAAAGTGATGCCAAGGATCCTGACAAAGCTTCTTTGTGTGATGAATTGGGAATAAGAAAGGGATGGCATAATAGATACCACATTCACAACTATGATAAAACTGTCAAAACATAGAATTACTGAAATAACTTGTGAATGATTATGATACTTTGAGTACCCTCTACTGGAATTCCTCAGTTTATTGACTCTTCTGTTGTTTCTGTTACTGCCTGAAGTGTTGACCTGAGGAAAGAAATTGGTGGATTTTAACATAATAAACAACTGGTCCGTCCGTGGTCAGGATGTAAGCCCGGCTGACAAAGACGACGTGGCATGTCTAAAGCAGAAGTGTATTTCTAAAGATGTTGACTGCCTTGACTTTGAACTAAACGCTGTCTCTCCAGAGCTGGTCTGCAATCAGCCGGATGCTCCTGATGCTAATTGCCATGGGGGATGATTGAGAACGGCGTTCACTAACGCTGGCACGATGTAATTACAAGGCAAAGTTCTTCTGTTGCAGCCCCCTCCTATTTGAGTCAAATGAGAGGATATGTTGATTAACTGGAGGGGGTGTAGAACACCGTGTGGTGGCGGGCTGAGGGGCTCCACTGATGGATCTTGGCTGCCTATAGTATACGCTGGGTTGTCAGTTTAACAACAGTTCTTGATTGCGCTGCTGTCTGGAGTCGGGTTTACTTACTGCACCTGGACTCTCAGCCAAGAATGCTTGTACAAAGCAGTAATGTGGAGATAATCTGCCAATGTAAATTGGAGAGTGGGAGTAGGAGACAGGAGCAGTGGCAGAAACATAGGTTCCTTCTCATTGCCAAAGGGCTCACAGGGGTTGGGAATTAAGAGGAAGAATAGGCATCTGCTGCTGTTTTTTTATATAGTGCGGCCAAAAACAAACTGGAAAAACAGATTCCCACAGAAAGCACCATGAGAACAAATAGTGGTGTCAGTTGGTATTATGAACACATCACCATCATTTAAGGGTATGCAAGCAGCTTCCATCAGTACAGGACAAACAGTGATGAAGAACCAACCTCTGCTCTGGTCACTGCTTCATCCATCTGTCCAGAACAGGGTTTCATTATTAATACAAATAAATAAATAAAATAACACACTTTAGAAAACTCAAATCAAATGAATTATGCGCATATCTTTAAAACATTTTGACAAATGTCCATGCAATATGCTGTATGATTTGAAGAAAGTTGTGGCTTTCTCTTGCAGAATGTGAAATAGGAATAATGCAAAATGAATTACAATTTTAATTAAATTGGACACTTACCAACGTAGACAACACATGCTAAGTTTGGTTTCAGTTTCAGTTTTAAAACATAAGCTGTAACTTTTCTGTAAATATCTAAGACTATTTTTTAAATGATCATCCTCCATCAA